CCCATCATCACCATCCTCACCATCCTTCACCATCCCCACCCGGTCCTTCACTATCCTCACAATCATTGCTACCATTGAGCCCATTGCTGCTGACACTGTCAATCTGTCTTGTTGAGGGTCTTCCTCTCCCCTGATGATCCTCTGTTCTCCCAAGAAACCACAGGCATACATGTTGAAATTCACAAAACCAATTTCGGGGAGGACACAATTCAATCAAAGATAGATAGATAGATAGATAGATAGATAGATAGATAGATAGATAGATAGATAGAGACAGATGATAGATAATGATAGATAGATAGATAGATAGATTAGATGGGTGGGTTGATGGATGGATGATTGATAGATGACAGCTAGCTAGCTAGATGAATAAAGAGCAAGACAGATTTCAGCTATGAAAACCTAAGGATGCACTTCTTAACTAACACCTGGACTGTTCAAGTACCCCTTTCTAGTCTATGACACTTACTGTGTTTCCATCAAGAGCAAGCAGCCCAACCTGGGACAAAGCGTGGAAGTCGAAGATGCCTCCCAAGGTACCGTCAATTTTTTCCTATGGAACAAACAGAAAGTACTGTGTGTGAATTGATTGCTGTTGTTAAGTGCCACCAGGGCACCTACAACCCATAACGACCCTGTGAACAGACAGGTTGGAATCTTGCCCCATCCTATGCCTCCATCACTGCTTCCACCTAGCTCGAGCCCACTGTTGTAGTCAATCCCCCTTGTTGAGGGCCATTACAGAAATGTTCTCCATTCCAAGTTCAATCGCAGGCAGATTTGAGGCAAGACAGGTTTTTAGTGAATGCCTGGTACCTGAATCAGAAAGTGGGACCACGAGACCCTTGTTGCCAGGGCTTCGGTTCTGATGGCCCAGTGGGTATGGAGCTGTGGGTGAGGGATCTTTGGGGGCCCAGTGGTAAAGATTGTGCTGCCAATGCAAAGGCACATGGTTCAAATTCACCAGCTGCTCCATAGGAGAAAGATGGCAAATCATCTCCTGTGCTATTAACTGTCTCTGAAAACCCACTGGAGGGTCAGCTATGGGTCGGTTCTGGTTTCATGGTACACCTGTTAACAGAAACAACAGTGGGTGAGGAATTGAACTGGCAACCCAAATGCAAGCAACTGGACTCCCCAGCGGTTCCCAGGGGAGAGACGACCCTCTCCCGAGGGGGAGGAGATGCCTCTGAAAGCCTGGAGGAGGGTCTGTTAGGTCTCAGTTCCAACTTGACTGCAATGAGAGTTTCTGGAAGAAGCACTGATACCTAGACTATGAGCAAGGCATGGGTCCCTCACACCGGGACACAGTCCGTCCTTGACAACAGGATGGACGCCACCTTTCTCCCAATGATTTGCCAAAGGATCACGGGAAGCCACTCTATGGGTTAGAAGGGAACGTCCTCAGCCTCTTAGCTACAGATGGATCCCGTCCTCCCTCTTTCTGTTTAAGCCCCAGCTCTGTTCAGCTGTGTGAACTTGGCAAAGGCCCTGTGCCTCTCCAGGCCTTCATCCCAGTTCACATCCCCCTGGCTTTATCACGCTTCACTTCAACATTCTTCCCAAATGCTGTGTATTTTACAAATGAAAGGTGCGTGGCAACCTTGTCTGTTGTTGTTAGGTGCTGTTACGTCGGGTACGACTATAGCCACCCTACGAACAACAGATCTGAACCTTCCTGTCGTGCGCGGTCCTCACCACCGCTGACCCACCGTGCGCACTGCTGCAGTCACTGTGTCAGCCCACCTGCCTAAGGGTCTTCCTCTCCTTCACCGTCTCTCCACCTTTCCAAGCTTGATGTTCTTTTCCGAGGACGAAAAAGCCTCTCCTAGTGACATGGCCAAAGTACATGAGACGAAGCTTCACCTCCTTCCCAGAAAGTCTAGCCCCACCGTGTTCCCAAGAACATCACATTGTGCATCTGTGTCACATTTTCATAATTCTTTTTTTATTATTAATTGTAATGAAACTTTACAGAGACCTAGGGTTTCCAGTCATTCATTGTTGCACTTTTCTCCCTGCCCACCCCGCTCCCCCCAATTCACTCTTTTCCTTGAAAAGTAAAAATCCCCCCCCCCAAGTCCACTCCACTGTGCAGCCTTTGCTCTGGACTTCTGTAATGACAAGAATACCCCTTCATATGTCCCTTTTAAACAGATCTCTCCCTCATCTGTTTCAATGCAGTGTACATTATGCCTCCCCTCCTTCTCTGTCTTCCCTCAACCCCAATGTCAGTCCCATTTCACAACAGTGGCCCTATGCTATATTTGTCCTTTTGTGACAGAGATATTTCACTCAGCATCATGCATTCCAAGGTCATCCATTTTGTTTCCAGCTCTTTGCTATTGTGAACAAAGCCACAATAAACATTGGTGTGCATATATCTGCTTGGTGGCCGTTCTGGTTTCTTTAGGGTAAATTCCCAGTAATGAAATTGTTGGGTCAAATGGTATCTCTATTTGCAACTTTTTGAGAAAGCGTCATACAGCCTTCCACAGTGGTTGCAAATTTTACACTCCCACCAAAGTAAATATGTGTTCCAGTTTCTCCACAACCTTGCCAGCATTTGATATTTGCTGCTCTGTTAAATTTTGCTATTCTTACTGGGGTGAGATGATATCTCATAGTTGTTTTGACATTTTCGTAATTCTTGACATACTTAAAACTTCTTCCACAGAGCTATTGCCCACGTAATAGATTGTTACACACAGCAGAACGTCACACAATGTTTGCATGCTCTGGGAAACGACAATAACCACGCATGATGTGCTTCGCTGACATTCTCACCCTACTGCAGGGGTCTGGAGCTGAACTCGTGGTATTTCAGAGGTCTGCATTTGTGGCTGCTGGCTGCTGTAACAACAGATCCTCGACTGGGTGGCAGAACAAACAAGGTGTCGGCAGGGCCTCCGTGGAACTGTCCCTCCTAACCTCCTCCAGCCTTTGGTGGCGACTGGCAATCCTAGGCGTCCCTTGGTTCTCAGCGACAGAACTCCAACCCTGCCTCCCTCTTCACATGGCACTTTCTTGCTGGGTGTCCCTGTGTCCCTTCTGCTTCTCATACAGTCATCACCCACCTACATCCACTACAACCAGTACGACCTTGTGTCAACTCATTGATCTGCAAGGATCCTGTTTCCAAGCAAGGCAACGTTCTGAGGTTCTAAGCAGACCAGGAGCTGTCCTGTAGCCTAGTGGTGAGAAACTGCACTGCAGTCCCAAAGTTGGTAGTATTATGTGCCATTGAGTTGCTTGCAACTCATAGCGACCCTATGTACAACAGCCCTAAACTCTGCTCTGTCCTGTGCCAATCGCACTGCCCCTGACACACCCATCCTGATTATCCCAGTCACCGAATCAATCCACCTCATAGAGGGCCTTCTCCTCCTGCACTGTCCCTCCACCCTCCCAAGCATGATGTCCTTCTCCAAGGACCAGTCCCTCCTTACAACATGTCCAAAGTATGTCAGACGGAGCCTCAGAATCCTTGCCTCCAAGGAGCAGCCCGGTTTAACCCTCTCCAGGATGAATCTGCTTGTTTTCTTGGCAGTTCATGGTACCCTCAATACTCTTCTCCAGCACCACAGCTCAAAGGCATCAATTCTCCTTCTATCCTCCTTAGTCACTGTCCAACTCTCTGATGCGTAACAAGTGACAGCAAAGACCATGGCCTGTATCAGATGCACCTTAGTCTCCAGAGAGACACCACTGCTCTTCAATACTTTGGAGAGGTCCCTAACAGCAGACTTTCCCATGGCAATGCGCCTTTTAATTTCCTGGCTACTGGTGCCAAGACTGTTGACTATGGAGCCAAGCAAACTAAAGCTGTGAACAGTCTCAATCTCTTTGCCATCCATCCTGATGCTGCTAATTGGTCCACTGGGGAGAATTTTGGTCTTCTTGACATTGAGCCTCAATTCATATTGGAGGCTGCAGTCCTTGACCCTCTGCAGCAGGTGCTTCAGGTCCTCCTCAGTTTAAGCAAGCAGGGTTGTGTCATCTGCATAACACAGACTATTGATGAATCTTCCACCAATCCTGACACCACACTTCTTCTCATAGAGCCCAGCCTCCTGGATGATTTGTTCTGCATACAGGTTGAAAAGGTATGGAGACAGGACACATCCCTAGCGTACGCCCTTCCCTATTTTGAACCATGCAGTGTTTCCTTGCTCTGTTCTGACGACTGCCTCTTGGTCCAAGTATAGGTTTCACATTAGCATAATCAAGTGTTCTGGGATTCCCATTCTTCTCAGAGTCAGCCACAATTTGTTATGATCCACACAGTCAAATGCCTTTGCATAATCAATGAAACACAGATAGACATTCCTCTGGTATTCCCTTCTTTCAGCTAAGATCCATCTAATATTAGCTACAATATCCCTAATACCACGACCCCTTCCAAACCCAGCCTGGACTTCTGGCAGTTCTCTGCTGATGTGCTGTTCCTGTCGTTTTTCGTATAATCTTCAGTAGAATCTTGCTTGCATGTGAAATCAATGAGATTGTTCTATAGTTTTCACATTCTGTTGGGTCACCCTTCTTTGGAATGGGAACAAATATCGATCTCTTCCAGTCAGTTGGCCAAGTGGTTGTTCTCCAGATTTCTTGGCACAACTTGGTGAGCACGTCCAGGGCAGCATCTGTTAGCTGAAATATGTCAATTGGTATACCATATATTCCTGGAGCCTTATTTTTTGCCATTTCCTTCAAAGCAGCCTGAACTTCTTCCTTCATCACCATAGGCTCTTGCTCATATGTTATTTCATGAAATTCTTGTGTCTGCCAAATCCTTTTGATACAGTGACTCAGTATATTCTTTCTATCTTCTTTTAATACTTCCTGGATCATTTAATATTCTGCCTAAAGCATCCGTTCAAATCCAGCTCTGTGGGAGAAGGACAGGCAATCTCCTCCCATGCTCTTGAAGGCCTCTGAAAACCCACTGGAGGGTCAGCTCTGGGTCGATCTGACTCCGCAGAACAAAACAACAAACAGACATGTAGTTACCATGAGGGGATTTACTCAGCCTACCAGAGTCCTGTCATCAGCAAAATGGGGTGATGATTACTATGAAACGAGCTGTGTACCCCAAAAGATATGCTGAAGTCCTAACCCAAGATCTGGGAACATGACCTGTTTGGAAATAAGCTTTGCAGATGTTATCAATTGCATTGTCATGAGTTATCCAGAAGCCAGAGCCCTAATTCAGAACTGTACCCCAAAACTCCACCATCATTGGTCAGTCCTGACTCACAGCGACCCTCCTGGACAGAGCAGAGTCTTCCTTGAGGGGTCCCAAGCCTGTCAATCTTTCTAGAAACACACTGCTTCATCTTCGTCCCGAGGAGCGCTTAGTGGGTTCAAACCACTGAGCTTCAGGTTAGCAGCCAAGAACTTAACCACTGCGCCATGGGGGCTCCTTCAAATATGATGGTGTCAGCTATAAAAGAGACAAAGACACGCAGACAGAGGCAGGACAGTCGTGTCCGGACAGAATCACATGGCCCTCCACGGCAGGCCTCGGTCAGCCGCACATGCTGGACGTATCCATCACCTCTGACGCTTGCCCGAGCACACCCGCTTCTCCAGGACTCACCGGACCCAGCGGATGTGGCAAGAAACTCACCACCCGTGCTTTTGAAGAACATTCGGCTCTACGGGTAAGACTGACGCACCGTCTATGGGGTATTCAACACTCTGACAGCACCACAGCCGAAGGGCCTTGACTCCCCCAAACAGCACCATGGCCAAAGGGCCTCAAGTCCCCTGACAGCACCACGGCCGAAAGGACTCGATTCCACTTTCACCTGCATCTGCTGCCGTTGTTGTTGTGTGCTGTTGAGTGGGAACTGACTCACAGCTGACCCTCCGGCACAGGAGGAGTTGCCCATCCTTCTCCCATGGAGCTGCTGGTGGATTAGAACCGCCTGCCTTTGGGATTGAAGCACAGCTTCTTCCCACTGAGCCCCCAGAGCTCCCTTTGTGCCTCTGAGGTGACTGAGTCTACAGGACCCGGGCCAGGCTTGCCCTTGTCTTCAGTGCGCCATTGCGCCCGTTAGCTCCCCACCAACGCCCAGGCAGCAGACGCGCCCGATGGATCCTGCACCCTGACTGCTGCCCCCCATAGGTGCTGACTGTGGGTCCCAACACAGGGGGCTCACGCCCACAGATGGTGATGGGGGTGTAGGACCCGGAAGCTTCCCCTTACTCTATACACAGGGTTGCAGGGGCTCAGAGCCAACATCAGTGAGCCAGGAACCCCTGGGGTTTGCCTGACACCGGGACAGATGAGTTCGGTTCTTCCCCTGGAGGCTGTGTGGGGAGGGGAGCTGGCGGACATGCTGAGTCACACATCTAGCGTCCTGAATTGTGAGGCAATACAGGCCAGTGCTTAATGTCCACCGCCTTGTGGTCTGTTGCTATGGCAACCCTGGACCATCCCGAGTGATGATCACGGGGTTGAGGCGTGCGGTTAACCCACAGGCATGACAGCAGGCATGTAAACCACACCCACCGTGGAATGAATTCTGACTCGCAGCGACCCCACAGGACATGGGGCTCCTGGGGCTGGCATCTTCCCAGGAACAGACTATCACATCCGTCTCCCTTCGAGGGGCTGGTGGGTTCGGACCACTCACCTTTGGGTTCACAGCCGAGTGCTCACCACTGTGCTGCTGCTTTTGGCCACAGCGTCTCTTCCCCTGAGGCCTCCCTCCTTCTTGTGTCCACCTTCCCAGAGCCCCCAGAGGCCCCTCTGGCCTGGAACTCTCCCCCCTCCCAGCCAGGCGGATGCCCACAGGAGGCACAGCCCAGCTCACCCAGCAGCTAGTGGGCACCACCTTACAGCCCCTCTCCCAGCAAACCTCACATACCACGTGCTTAAAGGTGAACTTCTCGAAGCTGTGTCCTGAGTCTCTGGAGTAGTACAGATTAGCCTGCGAGACCTTCTCTCCATGCAAATATGCAAAAACGAAATTACTTATGTTCTGGAAAACACACAGGAAAAGAACAGAGCCTGATGTGGCGACTCCGGCAGGCACAAGCAGTTTCGGTCACAGTCGCCAGAGGGTAAACGGCCACCAGCAGACGGCGGCTAGGCATGCTCGGTCCACCCACACGGGGAGGTGACTGAGGCATAAGGACACGGAGGCCTGGCACAGGCCACGACATGGGTGAGCTGTGAGAGAATGCTGAGGGCAGAGACACGAGGGGCCGAAGCTCATCATACCCCATCTGTATGAAATGTTCCAGAGGCAAACGCCAAGGGATCCCAGTGTGGGGTTGGCCAGCAGGGAGTGAGGGGACAGGGCGTTATTGCTGGGGGACAGGGAGTGCCCACTCAGGGGGGGGACACAAAGCCCGCAGAACCGGCAGTCGATGGCTGCCCAGTGTGCTGGCGTCATTATCAGCACTGAGCTGTACACTTGAGAGCAGTTAGAATAGGAAAACGGACATTCCACAGTTTACACAGTTCACCACAAACACAGCGATAAAACGGGCACCCAGGTCAGACTTGGCGCTGGCAGCCAGTGCCCACTCCTCCTGGCAACCCGGCAGGACCAGCTCGCCCAGCCCCGGGACGTGGCCGAGCTTGAAAACCTTAATGGGGGCAGATCGGCACATCTCTCTCCAGCACAGCTCTCCACAGAAAGCCAGGCTCCCGAGCCAAAGGTGGGTGACTCGACTCTGCGGCCCTCACGCCTGCCTTTAATTGTTTTTGGTGAAACATTCTTCTAGATGGTGTAACCCTGGTCTGTCCACTTGCTGTACAGAGGTAACTCGTGGTCGCTGTGAAGCCGAACACTGTGACACTGAGGAGTCAAACGTGAGAATGTTTACTCGTGGTGGACAGTGTGAGGTGGCGCTCCCCAATGAAAACAAGCTTGGAAGCAGGAGTGGCATCCACTTCCATAATAGCTTGCCTCCGGAAACCCTATGAACCTGGAGAAAGGACGGAAGTTATACAGGAACTGTCCAGGACTTGCGTTCATAGGGTCGCTACAACTCGACGGCCCTTAACAACAACCATCTTCAGGTTAGCAGCCCAACACTAAACCACTGTAACATCACATGCACATAAAAAACCCAAGCCCTCCATGCCAGCCAGCTGATTCCAAACCAGGGCAACCCTCCAAGGGGCCAGTGAGGCTGTAAATTCCTACTGGAGGAGATTGCTAATCTTTCTCCCTTAGAGCAGGTGGTGGATTCAAACTGCCAATCTTTCGGTTAGCAGCACAACATGTAGCACACTGCACTGCACTGCACTGCACTATGAGAGCTCTGTGCTGTGTCCCTGTGCCACCAGGGCTGCTTCAAGGAGGTCAGCGCCAACAGTCACATTCCTGGGCATCTGCCTCAGAAGGGAAAATGGAGACGCACAAAAGTGTACGCAACCACCAAGAAGGCTTCAGGGTTAATAGGACCCAAGTGGAAACAACCAAAATGTGGTACGTCCCCATGCTGAACTAGGACACTGTTCACAAAACATGCACGAAAGGAACAAAAACCCTGCATGGCTCTCTGGTGGGTGGTGCTGAGTGAAAACAGGCATCTAAAGGGCGCACGATTCCATTTACGTACCATTCTTTTTTTTAGTATTATTATTTTGTGTGTGTGTACCGTCAAATCAAATCTGACTGGTACAGGAGGAGATTGTTCCTCCTTCTCCAGCAGAGCACCTGGTGGATTTGAACTGCGTACAAGGAAGTCCAGTGAATACCACTATCATTCAGATATATGCACCAACAACCAGAGCCAAAGAAGAAGAAATAGATGAT